CCTTAAATTTCCGCCTTTTCAAGTCAGATTGACGTGACTAATCTCTGGAAACAGTGGAGAACAATATCGCTAGTCTGCCCTCAGGAACATTGGATGGTATTTTACGTAAAGGTGTGTGATTCCTTCAAAAGAGTGAGGCAGATTTCGACACCAGTAGAATTATTCTAAAATAGCGTAATCGTACAGAGGTTAAAATGGAAAAGCAGCAACATAACAATTGTATCAAGACTCGGTGGAATCGGGTGCTTGTCAATTTTTGGGCATGTCGAGTAATTGATATAATCTGAAAGCTTGTTCCTTCGCCTTGCTTTCGATGAAAAAAAATACCCATCACCTAGAATAAAAGTCGAGATATTTGCGACTGAAGGAGATGGGGTCACCTGGTTTAACAGGTAAAATTGGGGGAAAACGGCCACCAAAGGTTGACAACTTCCATATCTTTAGAGTCCCTGAGAACGGAAAGTTTTCATATTTTGTAATAAACGTTTTTATCCGTAAAATTCTCACGGAATGTGATTTCACATGGACATAGAAGAAGTTGAGCACACAAACAAAAATTCGATAAACTGGCGGATAAAAGCCTGTTTTGTAGATTTCATTATTCTGACAAGCGCCTGCTTTCCCCTCGATGCCTCACAAATGAGCACCAAATGACCAGTGTCCAGCACATTACTCTACACTTTAACTGTTACCAAACACCCATTTTGTCGCTACGCTTCAACGCTCACTGTTTTCGGGACATTTTTAACAAAAAACAACCCCCAACTAACTTCGTACTTTTTACACCGTGCTCCTCTTCTTCAACTGTCTTCTTCATCAACAACTTTCAAACGCAGTTAACAATATGGGTGCAGTTTAACGTGCAAGTTCGTGTTTGTGATTTTCGTATAATGGTTCCAAATACGTAGGTCAGAATTGCCTACTACGCTCTTAATTCTGCTTTGGCATCTGATGTGACATTATTAATTGTGAGTCCTCTACCTTCCTTCAAAGGTTTATCTTCTGTTGATTTTTTGTTTGTTTGTTTGTTTGTTTGTTTGTTTGTTTATTTGTTTGTGTTTGGTAGAGTGTTGTGATGTAATGCTGATGATGTTGCTGATGGTTATGAGGTTGATAGTGTAACGGCATAGATGTGAAAAGGAAACATAATTCTTGATTAGAAGTAGAAGATCCTAACAGGGTGACTTCCAAGCTTGAGTGACCTAGTAAACTGTACATTTACCATTTTTTTGTCCCTTTGATTAACGTTTTCCCCGCAAAATCCACACAGAGATGTGTTTTAAATGTACGTACAACGGGTTGAACCAAAAAACAAAACAAAAGATATTGAGTGTTCTTGAAAACTATAAATTTACAAAAATGTGTGTATGTGCCTTTTATCAACTTTTTCCGGCAAAATTCACACAGAGATGTGTTTTAAATGTACGTACAAGGGGTTGAACAAAAAAACGATAATGAAACTAAATAAAATAGGTACAAATTGTTGGACACATGGAAAATATTGTTTTCTTCATCTTCTCTACTTTGACGAGCGTGTGATTTCCCCACGATGCCACCACACTAATTAACTGTGGATAGAAGAAAGAGAGGCAGAGACAGAGGAAGGACATACCCGGCGACATCTGTCTCTCAGTGGCTCAGCTGCAGGATGGCAAGTCGCGGCCAGTGCGCCGTGGTTTAAGGACGGTCGTAATCTTGTATGGAAGACCGTGCTAAAACAACGCAGAGATCATACCCTTCTTATTTATACTGCAATCATAGCTGGTAATAAACGATAGCGGGGACGGGGAGGATGGCTGGTAGTGTGGGGATATATGAGGGGAGAGGGGTGGTGGTGGTGGGAGGGGAGAGGGGGGTT